CTTATATAAAAGCTATAATTTTGGAAGGGAGCAACATTTTAACTATGTGATTTATTTTTCATCACACTCTATTTCCATGTGAGGCCATACCACAGTCAGTGGATCCCTTCAGGACAAAGACGTACTCATAAATGCCCAATATATAGAGTCATGTTTAAAAGAGTGTAATTGAATAGTCATTTATAGCTTTTGATGCTACAAATAAGTTAGTCACAAAAACTTTGCAAGTGTAAGTGCTAAGCATTTACATCCACTCTAGTTGCGTAGAGGAGGGGAAGAAATTACTAGCAAAGATCCTAGGATTGTCCTTTTCCAAAAGTTTGTAAAGAAACGAATAGGAAGAGGGGAAAAGGAAGAAATTCAGAAGTGCTCTTGCATCCTCCTCACCGCCAATAAGTTTTTTAGCAATTTATACAATCATAATTATCTTTTCATACATCTTTGTGACTAAGTTGATGAAGCATACATTCAAAACCGAAAGAAAGAGTATAAGTACACCTATAGTAATAGAAGTTCAATTGCCAGATTCTGGTAACCAACGCTTTATAAAAATTTAGGAATTCACCTTAAGCTCCTGAAGAACATAAATTTTAAATCATGGTTATCAAGAAAAATCTTCACTTACTTCTGTTGTCATTAAAGTGTTATAAAACTATTTGTGTTCTAGTCACCTAATACAACATCCAAGATCACAACTTTGAATGAATCACTCTTTTACCTTCTAGCAATTTTTGACAAAGTCACAGTGGTAGCTTTGTACTTGCATAAGATCCATCACGAAAGTGATATTGCCTAAGATCTAGAACAATATTTAGAGTGATAAAAGTTGATAGTAACATGAATTCTCTGGCCATCACCAAAACGTTAAAATCAAATGGGAAAAACCATAAGTTCACCTCTTGAGTAAAAGTTGCACCAACTGCACATATAACTAACTCAAACCCCCAGTAGAGTGTATATATATACCTTTGAAAGAGCCAGAAGCTACATTTTGATTATGGTGGATATTTAGACCCAATCGTTCCATCCTCTTCATCTCACATCACAAAAAGAACTGGTGATAGCAGATTACTCATTCCTATAAGAAAATAGTGGTTTTTAACAGATCATGCTATACTTGACAGTAGCCCAGATCAAAGTTGTAACATAAGTGATTAAAATGTCATGGATCAAATCGTTGCTGCCATCATAATGCACACAGGTGTTGGGAAGACACCATCGTCCTCTAAACGTAAGCAGAATCATGGTTCAGCCACAGCTGAATGTCTGCCACAAGCTCATGCAACATATCCTAACGCTGTCATGTAAGATGCTTGCAAGCTCGCTCAACGATGAAGCACTCACTGATTCTAGAATATGCAAGGAGCTGGTCCTTGGATTCACTGTAGACGCCAAAAGCCTCACCACAGTGCTCAAGTTGTAGCCTAGGGATGTGGGGCTTGGAAGGAGAGCTCGGCATGTGGAATTCTATTAGAGAGAGATGCTGATGTATCGAGTTGGACATGTCCTCTAGCAACCAGCAGATTTTTTATTCCATGGTGGCCAGGAGCATTGAGCCCTAGAACTCACTACAGCCGGGTAGGAGATATCAAAAAAGGAGAACTCTGACTCAAGAAAGTTAGCAGAGGATGAGCAATTCTCACAATTGATTGACATAGGCCTAACTCCATGTATTTCTTACACTGTCTAAGACGATTTCAATGAATTTTGTCTTTAGGTTTGTTAGAAGAAAAGATTGTGTTGAGGATTATGAGATTGGAGTGCTATTACTGGAAAAATTTATGTAACTCATAAATGAAGTGGAAGCATATGGCAAATGCCATTAATTCTTGGGCTATTTGAGAATAAAACTTATTTTTTACATATTTTGACAAACTGCTGGGAACTACTCTATTAATAATACAGACCTGGAACTATGTTGCCTTGGTTTTTCTTTTACTATTGTAACTTAACATTATCTATTGCAGAAAGTTTTCTAGCTAGTGGACTTCCATCCCTTTCTCCGGCTTCACGAGCTTCATGAGCTTCCCATGAATTCGCTCGAACAGCTCTTGTGTAGCCAGGCTTGCACATGCCAGAATTGCAGCAACAGAAAACCTTGGCGCCTGCTACACACCCTCCATATCTGACTACATCCTTGAGAAGAAATCCAAGGCTACCTCGGCTTCACCGTTTTGAGAATGTCCCAGTATAACTGTCGTCCAGAAGACAACACCTCGACGGCAATGCCTTTGAAAACTCCACGGGCCTCCACCATGTTGACAAGCTTTGCATATATGTCCACTATGGCTGGTGATGAATACATCAGACTCATAGCCGCTGCAGGCAAGCCAATCTAAACACGTGGAAAAGCCTTGTCACTGTGATCGGAGCCTTTTGGTCTCGCTGCCAAAGGCCTTAGCACCGCAACGAACGGTTGACCATCTGGCACGCATCCCTCGCATTGCGTGAGAGAGAAGAAATAGATGACCTTGTTCATTCAGGACGTGGCCCAGGATCAAACTTGTCCACGACACAACGGTTGGCCGGAGAATCCCTCGAAAGACTCCTCAATTCTCCCACACTTCGAATAGAAAGCTATGAGCACATTACACACACGTAGATGTTGGAAAGAAATGCATACTTGTTAGCTTGAGCGTGCAAATGACAAAGCTCTGCGAAACCGTCAACGTTCCTGCGGTGGAATATCTCTAGAGCTAGGTATTCCTTACTGCTCTCAACGTAGCCAAGGATGAGCGACGTCCACGACGCAACGGTGCAGTGGCAACGATTCATGCCCTCAAAGATCCAGCGCGCTTCCGCCATTGGCGTACATGTGAATCAGCGCATTACATTCTAGGAATAGCTGAGCCAATCGATCAACCGTAGATCAAAAGCATATTCCTAGATGATTATTTATTATATTATTTATTATTGTTTTCAAGTTATTTGGTTGGAACGAATGATTTTAATGAACTTTTGGTTGCAAAGCTCTGATTACAGGTAAGTGGTTATTCCAGTTTTTGCTTCCCCCCGAATTTTTACGAAACCAAGGACACAAGAGACACATATTCTGCCGACTGGCGCCCTTTGGTCTTGATATTGATGATGAAGTGCTCCGGGTATCTCCGGAGGAGTCCAAGCAGCCCGTCCCATGGCCTTGCTCCATCTTCCTCCGTCTTCACCTCCACAACCTTCCACACCTTTGCTGGGGAGCAAATGCTTGAGTAGTGCTCCGGAGCATGCAGCTACAAGAGAACAAGTTCACCGGAAACAAAAACAACGAAGAACTCGCGTGAGAAACTTTGTTCTGCTAGTAATCTCCATGTATGAAAGAAAAAGGAACGGGTTTAGAGAGTTAAGTACCTCGTTAAACAGCTCCACGATTGGCATCCACTCGCCAGGGCCGCAGAGGTCAGACAGCACGGAGCCAATGGCCGCTACAACCTCCCTCTCCTCGGCCGAAGTGTAAGGAGGTGGTTTCTCTGCGCACGGCACGCACCAAGTTAGAACCTTGACAACGATGCTTGGACTGGGGCCAAATGAGAGGAAAGAGCTTCTTATAAGTAACAAACAATGCTTAAGCTGCGAAAAGAAAGCGGAAGAGAAAGAGAGGGAGGGAGGGATCTTTACTGCTCAAGCGCTCGACGAATCCAAACCTCCCAATCTCTCATCTATATCGACAACAAGAGACGGACGTTAGTATAGAGCTCAAGAGAAAGAAGAAAAGAGAATCAAGTTCTAAAAAACTGGACGAAAACCATGACTGGAATGAAAGTAGAAGGAAGAGATCACACACAAACGTAAGTTTCATACCCAGTTCTCTTTGGTTTCTTAAATCTTCACAGCTTTCTACAAGAACAAAGCACTCAAACAACAGTCACTCTAGAAAACCTTCCCGCTAAGGCTAATACTTCTCTCTTCTGCTCTAGAAAAGTTTTTACGTACCGGATGAATAGGCAGGACCTCCAGAGGGTGGTGGCGTCGAGTGAGGATGAGGATACACGCCATTTCCACCGCTGCTTCCACTGGCGATCGAAAGTCCTGCCTGCATCGCTGCTGCTGCTGAAAGTGCCGCTGCCTCCCCTCCAGCCGATTTCCTCTTCTTCGATTCTTTTCGAGAAGAGCCATCTTCCGCCTTGGATTGCTTCGACCGCTTCTTGCCGCTAGATCCTCCTCCGGGAGCCGCCAGAGCAATGGGAGCCGGAGCCACCATCGTCGGGAGAGGAGGCGGAGGAGGAGTGGGCTTGGCGATGGAGATCTGCTTCGTGGGTAGCAAGAAGTAGAACTTCTTCTCGCCAATCTGGAGCAAGTCCTGGGAGTCGAGCTTGACGTGGGAGGTGCCGCGGAGATACAAGACACCCTCGACGTAGCACCCATTCTTGCTAAGGACCTCCAGCGCGAATCTCTTCCTGCCAAAGTCGTAGTAAATCCGTGCGTGCTGCCGGGAGATGTTCATGCCCCCGCCCATGCTAGCCAGATCCACATCCACTGTCGACTTCTTGCTGTTTCTCCCCAGGATGATCGAGTAAGTCTGCATGTAGTACTCGAAATCTTCGCCTTGGAGCTTTGCAAACCCTGCCTCCAACTCCCCCATCGCTAGATCTGTTCTCTAGGACCAATGCCCTCCCCTGGAGCTCTCCACTGTTCTTCCCTATCTCCCCATAGAGAAAAAAAAACCCTCTCTCCTGCCGAAATTCTTAAAAAATGCCGGTGATTCTCTCGAGATTGCTGGAGCAATCAATGATCTGGCGAAAGATTTGGAGTAAGCGGCGCTGGAGCTAAGGAAATCTCGGGTCTAATCGATGGGACTTACCAGTGACCATCACTCTTGGGCCTTGGCGCTCGAGCTCCCGGATTTCTTCCCACTCGCGACGATTAAAAGCCCTAGCCCATGGAGCCCCAACGGCCAGATTTTGGCCACGTCGTTGCGATCCAACGTTCCGGGAGACTCGAGTATGAATGTCCTTAAAAACAGCATGCGTATGCCACGAGAGAAAATCCGTCCGTGGTAGCGGCTCGTTAGGGTTTAGGAGTGGATGGATTCGTCCAGCGGACCGATCGTTCTCTCCACCTCGTCATCCGACTCCTCCTCCTCGTCCGATCGCAGCGCCAGCGCCAGCAGCAGCGATTCTGAGTCTTCCGCCGTCGAGATCGTCTCCGGGCCAGCGAAATCAGGTGAGATTTCGCGTCCTGGAGCTCGTTTCTCCGCATATTTCGAGGGATATCCTGAGGCTTTTGCCGCTTCTTGGATCCAGCATTGCCGTTTTCTTTCGCATCTTGCCGCAAGCGCGGGACGCGCGCTCAATGCAAGACCTGCTGCCATTTCAAATTCAACAAGGCGAGCACCGAGCTCACACCACAGCCGTGTAAGCCTTGTCATTCTAAGCAGATTTTTTTCTTCTCGTTCCAACCGGTACTTGAGCTCATAACTCTCTTCCATTTTCTCCCATCTTTCTCTGTTTTTCTTGCACAGCTCTCGAAGTTTTCTTCCGCGATCGCTGGTGGACTGTGGATTCCATACGTGAAGAGGAAGCCAGTAGCGGCGCTTACATTGTCCGCTGTGTGGAATTCGAGAAGAAGGACGTGAGAATAGATTTGCAATGCATCAGACTTAGCAGTCGAAGGGCGAGCGACGAAGACTGCATTCTTCTCAAAGAAGGCGTGGATGTTTGCGTCTTTGCTCGTCACCCACAGACTAATGTGAAGGTAAGCTAGTATCTTCTTTTGAGTTTGTGACTTTCTATCTTCTGGGTTTGTGACTTCCACTCTTTCTGTGTAGGCTTGGCATGACGCTAACATTGACAAAGTTCACAAAAGACCACACGACACTAAATGCGACTGTAGGATAATCGTTAAACTGTACAGCATCGGTGACAAGGTAACAGACTTGACAACACTAAAACACAAACCTGAGACTGTAGGCATTGCGAGGATAAAAATCTTGCAAGCGCCCAACCACATTGACTTCGAGGAGGTCGTGCAAGCGGCAATCCGGCCGGGATTGACGAAACGGGTATGGTCTCGTGACGTTGGCTCAATCAAGAGCAAACATGATGGAAGCAGATACGGCCTGGGAATCCAACGCCACCGTCACCACCACCACGATCACCACCACAGACATGGCTGCTACGAGCTCGAAGTAATTGACGACGACTCCTCCAGCGACGACTTTGAGGCCTTGTTGGACGCAGAGCTTCGCCCGACTGAGGTACTAGACTCGGATGAAGAGGACTACGTTGACAGACTAAACGAAAGAACGTATGTGTCACCGAGAAAGCCTGTCCAGGGAGTACGCAGGTCGAAGGAGAAAGCGAAGAAAACCAAGAGGCCTGGGAATGAACAGACTTTAAGGCACCGAGAGAAAAGCTCGTCTAGAAGGGACTCTTTGAAGGACAAATCGCCCAGGGTGAAGAAGAAAAGCAAGTCTTTAAAGCGTAAGCGTGAAGATGACAGGGCCACTCGTGGTGACAGGGCGAGCGCTCACAGAAAGAAAAGTAGAAAAAGGACAGAGACAGACATTTACACACACTTAGGGGAGGAGAACCTTGAAAAGGAACAAGGATATCTAGTAAGCCTGGAAGATTATTGGAACAGAAAGCATGTTAGTTTCGAGCCAGAGCCGACAATGGAAGAGAAAATCTTGAGGGAAATGGAAATGGTGTTTCCAAGAAAAACTGAAGAAGATGAGGTCAGTGATTCTAGTATATCATGCATGCTCACAATAATTCCTGTTTTTTACAGGCACCACGCATGAGCAGCTTTGACGATATATGTGAGGTACACGACTACGTTTTGAACGAGTTGGTGGGACTTATTTGCAGTGTATGTGGATACGTTGGGATTCCTATCGAAGAGATGGCGCCACATCCGGTAAGCTCGTTTGATTTCTACAGATATACTAGCGCTAAAGTTTTTTGCAGGACTGGAGCTTCAGGCTGCCGCAGAACGTACTTGAAAATCCGGATCCCTTCATCAGAAGGCCGGAACTCAACGATCTAAACGACGATCTGGCTGACGACCCTTACTTTCCCAGTACTGACACAAGAAGAAGCTTACATGCCCATCAAAGACGTGCCGTGCGCTTCATGAAGAGAAACATCGTGGACGAGGAGGGAGGCTGCATTCTGGCACACGCCCCTGGCACCGGCAAGACGTTTGCCACGGTTTACTTCTATTCAAAGTACAAAGAGATCATGGCGGGATGCCGGCTGCTCGTGCTTTGTCCGAAGATGGTCCAGAACGTATGGAGAGAAGAGTTTCGGAAATCCCAGATGGACACACCATTCTTCTTGAGCTCTCGGAAGTCAAGGCGGCTAGAGGTCCTCTCACGGTGGCACAGGCAACGGGGCGTGCTGGTGATGGGCTTCACCTTGTTTATGAAGATGAGCTTGAAGAAGGAGTACCGCAGCTACATGCTCGAGAGCCCGGAGCTGGTGATCCTGGACGAGGGGCACACGCTGCGATCGAATGGGACGCTGCTCAGGAACGCAGTGATGAATATGAAGACCAAGCTGCGGATACTGCTGTCCGGCACCTTGTTCCAGAACACGTTCGAGGAGCTCTTCAACCTCATCTTTCTCGCGAGGCCCAACTTCATCCAGCAGCTCCAGATGGAGGACCGAGCTCGGAGGTGGTTCATCAAGGAGATAGGCAGGAAGTTCGACGACGGTCATGGCCACAGGGAGATGCAAGCCGCGCAGATGAAGCTGGTGAAGATGACGCAGGGATTCACGGACCACTACACGGGTGCCATCCTCACGGAGGTCCTCCCGGGGCTACGGGACTACGAGATAACCACGGTCATGACGGAGCTCCAGCACAAGCTGGTGGCCGCAGTGGCGGGCACGCTCGAGATGGACATCACCCGGACCAGGATCTCCATCCACCCGCTGCTGAGGAGCGCCGAGGCCGCCGGGGGGGACTTCTCCGCCGTGGCGGCGGAGGTGGTGGACGTGCGCGCCAGCATGAAGACGGCGTTCGTGATGAAGCTCATCGAGCTGTGCCAGTGCGCCAACGAGAAGGTGCTCGTGTTTGGCGAGTTCCTGGCGCCATTCCACCTGCTGCTGCGCATGCTGGAGCTGGAGCGCGGGTGGTCGCGGGACAAGGAGGTGGTGTTCCTCCACGGGGCGCTGGTGACCGAGGAGCGACACGAACTTATGGACAGGTTCAACGCGGAGGGGTCCGAGGCGCGCGTGTGCCTGGCGTCCATCCGAGCCTGCGCCGAGGGGATCACGCTCGTCGGGGCCTCGAGAGTGGTGCTGCTCCATCCGGTGTGGAACCCGGCGCAGACCAACCAGGCGATCAGCCGGGCGTTCCGGCTTGGGCAGAAGCGCAAGGTGTTCGTCTACCGGCTGGTGACGGAGGTGGAGAGAGTGAAGAACTCGCGGACAAAGTGGAAGGACTTTTGCTCCGAGGCCATCTTCGAGACGGCTGGGAGCGCCGCGCCGAGGCCGCAAGAGCCGGCGTCGCTGAGTGCGGAGGAGATTTTCAGCGAGGACAAGCTGCTGGCGCAGATCCACGCCGAGGGGATGGTGTTGCGGGTGTGTTACAGGGATCACTTCTTCGAACAGGGGGAGAATCAAACTCCCGGCTCACAGTGAATCGTTTCATCCGATTTGGGTGACATAGCTGTCATTTTCTTTTCTGATGGTTACCATTGATTTTCAATGAATGGTCCAAGACAGGAAATCGCTACCTGATGGAAAGCTATTCATGCACTACACGAACATCCCATAGCGAGTTTTTGGGATAACTACAATGAGTATAACGGCGCAAATACAAAAGAGCTGCTCAACAAGGCGAACAAGAAGTCCCCCACTACATGATCCCCTCAAACATCCATCCCCAGATCTAGAAGATGAACAGGAAGCAGCCATCCAGCAATCTCCAGAAGAGGATGGCCAAAATGGTGACAGTCACCGATGCAGCTGCTTATATCTTTAAAAAAGCAAGCACAGCAGGTAAAGAACAAGCCACTGGAGGTTGGTCATAAGGAGAGCTAACGTGCTGCATGGCAAAGATCTCGAAGTTCTTCCCTTGTGTGATGTTTGATTTCTCTTGTTGAAATGTTGAGATCTTATCTCATCTGTTAAGTACAAAGAGATGGTGCAAAGCCACCACATAAAGAGAGGAGCTATAGGTAGCATTGATCTCTATCGAGAGCGTAGGCTGGACAATCCTAGAAATTTCTATCTGGGTGGCCACCACTCGGCAATAGATCCAATGGCTGCGTCACACCAAGAGGTGAGCTTGGACGCCCATGGACTGGATTTTCCCAGTTTGAATTGTACATGGGAATCCCAGAGGCAACGACTCCCAGAGTTTTAGAGATTCACTTTGTTTTGATAAGAACTAGAAAATGGATCTTCGCTTCAAAGTGGTTATATCGACTTGCCAAGGCATTTGACAGACATCACTGAGCTGCCATCATTGAGCTTTACAAATTGGTGAAACTACAAATCTTTAATGGTCATCAACCATACGCAAAAGTGTCCACTCTCCCCTACGTTGTTTGCAATAGACATTGGGGCGTTGGAAGTGATATTAAAGGAGAAGAATTATCGTATACTCGCTTCTATATGCTGACGTCTTGCTGCTGGTTGCCCCGGATCCAGACACACTCGAGAGCTTCTGTGTGGAGGCAGGAATGCAAGTGAACTTGGCCAAAACGCAGATAATATCTTCCAGGATATATTTCTATGATGGTGAGCTTGTGAAGAAACTTAAGCTTACTGAAGGCCATGAGAAAGCCGCAAAAATGGCATATTATAGTTTCTAGTCAGACTGCCATAACAATACAGTCACAGATTGGAAGACTATTCTATAATGCTAAAGTGCCACCAGTTGCCCTTTATGCACGTGAAGTCAGCTCCAGGACTACCCCGATATATATCTGGGGTATGTTAGAAGCACTTCACACAAACTTCATCCAGCATGAACCACAGTGGAAGGAATTGCAAGAATGGATGGAACACCTGCTATCCAATCATTGGAACAACCAATATTGGATAGACCAAGCTATGCAAAATTGGCTTGTCACAACTGCTACAAAATATGAGATTTATCGTGTTATGGTCATTGAACAAGGACAACATTGCAGGCCTTGTGTACTGCAGGAATATCACGCTGTAACCAAAAGCAAGTCGAGGATGTGTACCACGTCCTCTTTGACTGCCCACTGTATCCGAAACCAGAGCCATGGGCGAGATCACTGCTTGGCTCCAAAACTCCAGACTGTGACTTGGTTCTTCAAAGAGATGGAGAGGATCTGCAAAGAGTGTGAACAACAACTAGAAACTAACGAACTAGCTATTGGACTATATCTTATAGAAAAAGTTCTCTTTTCATTATACTCCCCTCATAGATAATATGGTGTGATGCTTGAGTATAGTCTCTATTGGTGTGGTGATACCTATATAAGCCTTTTATCTACACGATAAATCAGCCGCAAAAGGATGAGAAGCATAGGCCTTTGTCTTCAAATCTAAGGAGATATGTTCAATCTAAGGAGGTATTCAGATATATTTTTCTTATTATGTGTGTATGATCTCAAGAAACAAATGGAGTGATACTCTTCTAGAGCAAGTTTGAAAGTACCAACTCGGCTACTAGACCAACATGGCTGCACGAAGTTACTCGTCCGGCTTGACACCCTCGAGATTCATAAGCTGGAAGACTTCCACTGCTCGATCATAGTGCCAGTTCTGAGGGTTTTTCGTCCAGGAAACCAAGGTGCACATTTGCATGCTCTCCAACATGCTTCTGGCGGTGCTCAAGTTGAAAGTTGCGTGAGAGCTATCCAGCAGACATGCGCAGGATCTCGTGAACGGCCTCGTCAAAATGCCCATTCTCGCAAATGCGAGGATCCACGGTACTGGATTCTTATTTGATCGAAGATGTTCTTCATGAGGGCGACGAAGCCCTGGTGGCTGTCGTCATCGCCGTCCACGCACCACGTCTTGATCTGGCATGAAATCAAAGATCTCTTTCACGGTGGCCAAATCCCCCCTCTGATGAAGGGGAACCGATGGAACGTCCTGTCATTCCGGGGGTAGCACAGTCGTAGGACACGAGATCCTTGGAGACATTTTGTCGAAGGTCTTTCGCTGCCAGAATTTGCCCCTGGTGCGTGAGCGCCATTATCATCGAGTTCCATGACGCTCTGAGAAGCAATCAAACATAGACTCTCAGTCACGGATCCGGGATGCTGCCACATACGCGGTTCCAAGAGACGGAACTCCGATTCCCGGACTGGGCATACAGTGTAATGAGTGAGTTCCATGCAAGCACGTCATGATCCGGCATGGAATCGAAGGTCTTGTTTGCCTGGCCGCGATTGGAGCTCTGAATGGAGGATTGTATTACTGTGTTGCAGGACACGAGATTCCTCTGGGGCATTCAATCGAACAAGATTGACGCTGCGTCGATCGAATGCGCCATCGCGACCAGTGTTCTTGCTGCATTTGCCAGTGAAAGGGAATATCGCGCGATCCAAGAGCCGAACCCTGCGCGGAGTAGGCGGGATCCAGCGCTGGGATCAGGTACAATAGAAGCTTTTGAAGAGTAGACAAAAAATTTCGATTGGGTTTCTGGCTGTGGATTCGAACCTGTGACCTTGCCAATTTATTTCTTTATTCTAGCCAGATATCCGGCCATCAGGTTCCCGTCAAAAGTGTACAGTAATTGCTTCTTAACGTATACCATAATGTAAACAGCAGCACAAGATTTTTTGTTTTGTGGACGCAAATTTTGAGCATGTCGTTGCTGCTGTCAAGCTCAAGAACTTCTCAATGGAATGAAACTGTCACTTGCTCCAAGTTCTGGGACACGTTTTATTTAAAATCCCGAGGCCATGGCAAACAAAGTGGTTGGATGGACTTTTGCATCTCGATCTGAGCAAGCAACCGATGCAAAAGCTACTTCTGAAAAGCAAAATATAAGTATGCTGCAACAAGAACCAGCAACATTCGTTTAAGGTGTTGTTCTGGAAGATGGCTTGTTTGAGCTATCTATGGTCCCATCTATTGTCAAAGCTGCAGGTCCACAGGTTTCAATTCTTTCAAACCCTCGGGGGAGCTCCAAGTTTGATGCCTTTTCCTAGCAATAATATATTGCTCCAAACCGTGAAAGTTTTTACTCACTCACAAGAAAAATTCTAGGGTATCCAATAAATCAGGAAAGCTCTTAAAGAAAATCCTAGGTTCAACATAAACACGTCACACTTCATGGAATGGGTGGTGGTCTTGGTGTTGAAACTTGTCTTCAAACACTTGATTTTAGGTGCCAAAAGTATGGCCATGATGTGAGAGAGAGCAAGCTTTTTCAAAAGTTTCCAAAGGGCAGATAAAAAATATACCAGGTCTGGCGTGGAGTGACCACAATGCATGGAAAATACTCGAGGAACGAAGCGATCTGGACAAGAGTATAAGCAAAATGAGCACAAGAAGAACCATACATACCAGAGAAAAGCAGTGCTTGTGAGCCTAGTTTGAAGATGTCACGCTCGTAGAGCACACACGGCAGCGGCAGACGCCCGGGTAAAGAGCCCCCTCGGTGGAATACGATCGAAAATGTGGAGCAGTAGCTTATAATGGCAATGGCGGTGGTTTTCCATGGCATCGTTCTTGAGCCTTGAAGAGGAGGCGCCATCCAGCGAAGATTTGCAGGAAGGAGGAGCGATCTCCAGCAGTGGACGCCTTCGCGAGAATGCGGTGAGCACAGATCTGGGAGGGGGAAGGCACATCCACGAGGAAAATCGTCTCCAGCGGCCTCGAGGTTCCTTGCTAATCTGGTCATGGAAAGTGCGGGAGCTGGGAATCTTCCAGAAGATGAAAGATCGAGATTCTTTCTCGTGGAACATTGCGATCGTGGGATTTGCCCGTTGCCTTGTCACTCTTTTTATAGGCGAGCATCCAATTATTTCTCCTGGCAGCTATCAATGCCGATCCGGTGGAGATCCACGCGCTAGTCGTCGCTGCTGGCCTGGCCTGGCCTGGATCACTTGTGCCAAGAGCACATTCGAGCCTCTCATTGGGCTCCCAATTGAGGCACTCGGTTGCAGCTCGGACACTCCTTGGAGTGTATTCGACAGGCATTGAGAAGAATAGTTGGAGCTACACTAGCATCGGACTCTTCCCCATTCTTTCATTCTCAAGCGCTGAAATTTGACTCGACGCTAGAACTCCGCCTCGTCTAGCTTCCCAAATCTCCCCAGGAGATCCACCAAGCATCTTAAGATGCTGTAGTCTTGGGCCATGGACGACAAGGATCTCTTGGCTTTGCCCGTCATCCCAGGCAGAAGAGCACAGTAGCTTGCAAGATGCAAGAAGAACAAGCGTAGCTCGGTTGTCCTTAAAAAACATTTTATTGGGTCTCTTGGCTGTGGATTTGGACTTGTAACCTTGCCAATATATTTCTTTATTCTAGCCAGGTATCCGGCCATTTTTCTTCACCATAATGTAAACTCATTTTTTGGTGCAAATTCTTTAGCTCGTGGGAATGTTTTATAAGGCTGTTATCCTTTCTACAATTGTCAAGCACAAGAAAGAAACCATTATAGAATAAAGATTTCACCATTAAATTTACAAGAATCCTTAGGATGGACAAAGGCAAATTTGTCTAGTGTGACAATTGAAGGATGGAACCTGTGACTTTGCCAATATATTTCTTTATTCTAGCCAGGTATCTAGCCATTAGGTTTTTGTTCAAATTTGCTATCCATCATCATGTGAAGGGTTTAAGTTCCACTTTATGGTTATTTTATAGTAAATCATCATAACATAAAAGGTGAAAATAATATGCATTACAACTTTATGCCAAGTTAGTTGTGGAGTACTAGATTCCACTGAAAATGTAC